GATTGCTGAAAAGGCATTCTAGCCTCCACTAAAGGGGAAAAACCACAAATAAAAAGGGAAATGGTTTCCTTCAGGCACAGAGAAAATACAAACCAAGCCAGACACATGACAGCTTCCCACCACCTAATCTAAGTAGCTACATACAACAGAAGATGGCTTCCCCCAGCATAGTCCATCTGGGAAAACTAATAAAAAGCACAGACCTCCCTCTGATATTATTTTTTAAATAGATTCCAAGGCCAAGAAGGGACCATTTTGATCACACAGTCTGATCTCTTGAATAACTAACCATAAAACTGCACCAAAACTGAGCAGTCCTTCTAGAAAAAGATCCCAAAAATATATGCCTTAGTCCAAGTCTGAATTTGTCTAATTTTGATTTCCAGCCATTGGTTGACTCTTCCTTAGGTCATACAAAGTGAATACATCCATTCACCTTCCTCAGTGCAGTACTGGGCCTGGAAGACAATCAGGCACCAGTTCTAAGTCTTCAAAAGCACCTCTGCATCCACAGTCACAGGGGATTCGGCAGATACAACTTCTTCATTACAGGTGTGGGAAATACGAGCTTCCAGGAGCTAAAGCAGCTAACACTTGTCTCCAGGTCCTGTCTGTTTCGTGAGGGGGTTTAACCCCTTTCCAGTTCACACAGAAACCAAGTATCCCATCCCAAGACAATATTGAAGGAGAATGGAAGTTATTTGTAATTCTCATATTTTTTTCCAAAATGTTTTGGAATGGCATAAAAATGGATGCTGAAGTCTTAACCAAATATCTAAATTAAATAAAATATCTAATGTGATAATGTGACAGTGGCAACCTAAATATCTTTGATGCTTTTTACTGGGACAACCTTAGTATCCGGGGGAGTTAGAAAGACTTTTGCTATTTACTTCAATGGCAGCTAGGGCAGGCCTAGTTTTAAGCACTAGTGCATCCACACTGCCATGTGCTTTTGCGCAAGAGATGTGCTTTTGCTCAAGCGCATCCATGGCAATGTGGATGCTCTCTTGCACAAGAAAGCTCTGATGGCCATTGTAGCCGATCCACACTGTTGCTTGTCCACACTGCCTACTTGGGCAAGAGCTCTTGCGCAAGAGGACTTATTCCTCGTGGGGAGAGGAATAATTCTTGCACAAGAAGCCCTCTCTTCAGATGCATTACTGTACATTTACTTGCATAAGAACACGTGTGCAGCATAGACGCTCCACAAGTTTTTGCATAAGAATGGCCATTCTTGCGCAAAAAGCCTGCTGTATAGACATAGCCCATGTGACTTGTTACATCTGACAGCAATAGGACTATGGCACTAGACGTTCTCCACTAGCTGGCAATGGAGTTTTACTTTCTGTGTCAAACTTGAGTAAATAAATATAAAGTGGTTTTCAAAACTGCAGATACATAAAGAGGTTTCTAATGTGGGTGCTTTCTATTACTAAGATTGTACATACAATGCAGAGTGAGATGTGTGCTTGGCCATTTGCTCACAGAAACTGAATAGATGCTCATGCCCTTTTGAAAACCAGGCCCAAACATGCATATCTGATTTTGGTAGGGATTTTGTCTCAGAGAGGGGTTGTTTTGTTTGTTTGTTTTGCTATAGAGATAGAGATTACATTAGCCAGAGTGGCGGGGTGGGGGGTGGAGGATGGGTTATGCAATTGAGGTTTCTCGATTACATCTTTTTCCTTTTTGTGGTTCTTTTCACTTTCTCCACTGTGCATTTATAAGGAGCTATTTCACTGATATAGGCAGAATTGGTGGCAGCCATTAATGCAGCATGAAGTCAATAAATACTAGTATATCAAATTGCATATCACAGGTTATGAAATAAAGGAGTTACTGAAATGGTTACCACCAGAATCACATCTCTCTTTCTGAACAACATAACCTGTTCAGTGAAGAGTATCTTCCTTTCATTGAAAATTAAAGTTCAATTTCCACATCAGCCAAGTTATCATATATAATTAATTGTTAAACCAGCCCAAATATGAAATTTTAATTGTATTAGTTTAATCACTCCCTGTTTTTTAACCAATTAATGACTTGTTTGAATTTCAAATCATGCATGATACTTGATTAGTTCACTTAAATATACTGGAAGTAACACTGTCTCTACTTATTCATACTTTAATCACAGCCCAATAAGCGCTGTCAGAAAATAGTTGTCTTTGATGTCTCATTATTTGCTGCTTTCTTCCTTCTTGGTGGTTAATCAAACTCCCTCCTGCTGTGGTCAAAGAATTTTGATAATGTCAGAGGTGACTTGGCCTAACCATTTCCCCCAAGTTTACTTATTTATTTGTAGAAAGGTAACAGTAAGCTTCCATTTTGCAGCTCCAGGCAAGATTCATCCTTATTCTTTATGATGAACTTTTGCCTAAGCAGCTGGGAAAATGTAAATTCTGTAATCTCTGTAAATTCTGCTGTTTAAGTGAAATACATTGTAATAATCAACTAATTACTTGCAGCTCTGAAACAAGTTGTGAAAATTTCTGCTGCCAATCATGCTGAATTAATGTTTCTTCTCAACAGATTGGAGCTAGAACAATTGTCAAAATGTGTAAAAACTTCAGGGGGCAGTAAGTCAAATGAGAGTATCCAGCTGAGAGAAATTTCTACCCTAGGATAAAAATGAACTTTTTATTTTTATTTCAAGCACTTGACTGAGACAGATTTACTTCTAAAACATCTAGAAATAAAAATTCTCAATAGCAAGATTTAGTGGGCACACAGAACCACAAATGAAGTGCCAGCTCAGAAGAGAAAAAAGGTAAGAAAATGATATGGGAGAAAGATTCATTATATAAGAAAAAAACCTGAATACAGAAATGGACTGTCTGAATAAGACAGTGATTTTATTTCTCTACTAAGTTGACTAAAAGTCAACTACTGCACTGTCAGTTTTTAAGCAGAACTCCTTACTGATGTCAAAAGGGAGATCTGCTTAAGAACTAATGGTAGGATATAGTTTGGTGCTTTTTGAACTGAAATTTGAGGCCATGTAAATGATATTTTTCCATTTGTACAAGAAACAAGCCTTGAGAATATCTAAGCTGTGACATGAAGTGTGCTGCAAAAAAAAAGTTTATTTTGTGGGCTAGGAATATTTTTACTATTGCATTTTTTTTTCACAGACCAAATTCAGAAGAAGTGTTCTGAAGCACTACCCTAGCCTCATCCCAAGCGGAAGATGCAAAGCCCACAGCTTGCTCCTATTTCTATATATAACAATTTGCCTGAGGTCTATTGTCTACCTGCTTTTTAGCTGCTAGTTCAGCAAAGTCTCTGTGGTGTTTTTTTCTTGGTTGCATATAAAGCTCAGGACACCGCAGCTGCAGGGTGCACGTTGCAAAGTTGGGTTTCTTTCTTTCTTACAAGAGGTAGAAAATGGAGCACTCATTGCTTAGTCAAAATACTCTTTTTGCCTGGTCTACATTTCCTCTGGAACCAGAAGTTGGCAGTTGCTCATTGACTCCATTTTAGATATTCTGAGGCAGCTTCTCTAAGGGTATGTCTAGACTGCAGTGTTATTTTGGTATCCTGAAATAGCTATTCCACGTCTTATGAACCAGCCCAAAATAGATTTCAAAATAATGGGCTTGCTATTCTGACATCCCTGTAAGCCTCAATTCATGAGGGTTAAGGGACATTTCAGAATAGCAGTTTATTTCAAAATTGGTGCTGTGTAGAAATAAGCTATTTCAAAATTAGATCAAAATAAGATATGCAATTTGCGTAGCTCAAATTGCTTACCTTATTTCAACCTATGGGTGCAGTGTAGATGCACCCTGTGTGATATTATTTCTGCCTTAACACAGTGCCATCTGCTGCTAGTAATGTGGTACTTTTTCTTTCTCTCGAATAAAGAAGCAGCTAAATGTTAGGATTTTCGTGCTTTTATTTTTGTTCTAATTCTGATTTCCACAAGTGGCAGTACCCAACTTTCACTTCTGGTTTTAATTTTGTCCTCTGTGTGATAATTCTTGCTCTTCTCACACTTTCTTACTGTATGTTTCCCACTTGATTAACTTCTTCCCTTTTGTTTTCACATAACAGTGAACTATGGAAGAGGCAAAATATTGTAAGGTAGATTTGTAGCTCAATTTTTCAGACTTCAGAGCTGAGGATAAGCTGCTAAATTATGGAGAACTTATTTGTATTGAATTGCTGACTGCTATAGGGAATAAAGAGACAAAGACTAGGATTCTAGGGCCCGGTCTACACTAGACCAGGAAGGTTAGCTTAAGCTTTGCATAGCTGGAATCAGTTTACCTTAAACCGAGCTGCCATGGTGTCTACACTGTGGGAAGCTGACGGGAGCACACGCCCCCATCGACTTTCTTACTTCTTGCAGAATGAGGAGTATTGGATGCTGGTGGGAGCTGACATAAGCATTTGGTTTGGGCATCTACACTAGACCCACTAAATTGAGCACTAGAAGATCAACTTCCAGAGGGTCAATCATCTCCATAGTGCAGACATGTCCTAGGTGTGTATTCCTTTCTGGAACTAAATTGCTTTGTACCTTGAAAAGTAACAAAAGGACAGAACTTAAGCACTGATTTATAATCATTTACACTAGCTGAGGATCTGTCCTTTCATCTCTTTTTTTCCTCTGTTTCTCATTTTAAAAATCACTAATAATGGCCATTTGTCAAAAGTAGGGGAGCAGGGCTTTGGGAAGCGTACATGCAGAAGGATACCAATTCTTCTAGAGTTTGATGACAAGAAGAAAAAATGGAAATGTTGGGAAAATATTCAGAAATATTCATATTTTCAGTTGCTTATTTGAACAATCTCTTATGGTCTACTCTCTCAATAATTTCAAAACCAATCCCTGACCATCATTTTATATAACTTGTATTATTGTTGCCTTTCTCTCTGCTGTTACTTTTCACTAGTTTTACCGTGACGAACTTCCAATACAAATTTATAAGAACAGTTTAAATAGATCACTTATAGTTTAACTTATTCTTTTTTCTCTCTTTTCTTTCAAGACTGAGCAGAAAAAGAAAATGATGTTTTAGCCCCTGGGAGCTTTCTTCAGACTTCCTCAGATGGCTCGGAGACCAAAACAGTTTTCTTTCTCTTCATTCCTGTAAGTACTTAAGTTCCGCCTGACTCATATCCCTATGGTCTCAACCACTATTTTCTTTTCTGCTTGACTCAAAGAAATAAAAGGAATACGTTAAAATGTAAGCAGTCTGTTCAGACTCGTCATAATACACCTCTCAGTGTGCTTTGTGATTGAAGAAGAGTCTTATAAAAGTTGAACAGACAGCTGAAGAGAGTAAACTTTCATTCTCCTAATAGCACCCACTGATCTTATTCACACTCTAAAGATTAATTTGATAAGGTTAAAGTGCAAAGACATTATTCAGAGTGATACCTGCAGGCCTCCAAACAATCCTGAGTTCAGATGTATGCAAAGTTCATGGAACAGATTAGACCCAGTCTATTCCTTGTATTATTTGTCTTCTCTGCAGCTGATTTAGGATATTTCTGATACAGAGTCATGTAAAATTGTAATAAAGGTTCAGGGGAAAAAAAGAAACAACAGTAAACCTCAGAGCCAGTTGGGTGCCGAATTTCTCCTGCTGAGAGCTAAAGTCGAGAGAAAATGGGAACACCCTCCATATGGCAGAATCTTTTAAGAAGAAGCATTTTCATATAGGAGTAGCCCGATCTATAGATTATGTATCAATTATATTGATTACTTAAGAACACTCAGTGATCACTTTGAGGATTGACAGGGTCTTCTCTCAAGATCAGGCCAAGAATTATTAAAATGATTATATAGTGGGAAATCCTGATGTGCACGATTGCAACACTCACATGATAGGTGAGTTTATAGTAGTTTATTAATACATTTAGTAAAGTCATAAACACCTAATTCAATAAGATCAATAATACCTCGATAATACAGAAGGTAAAGTTGAATATCTATGTTCACTCCATTCCTTGCAGACCAACCTAAAATATCAGCCATTGTCTTCCTCATCACCTTCAGCTTCCTCCTCAGCTACGTCTCCTCATGTACAACGTTTGTCTGTTTTACTGACTCCACTAAGTCCAATGTATATTCAGCTGACGTTTCTTTCCTCTTCCTTATTTGCATTTCCACATTCCACTAATGTTGGTGTGTCTTTCTGCTATAGGTTGCAGACACACATACCCTGCTGAGCACAACAAGTTGCAGTGCTATAAAGCACCAGTGTGAATGTGCTTCCAGCACAGCTAGCTACTCCCTTATGGAGTGGTTAATCCACAGCAATAGGAGAGCTACCTCCCAGTGCTGGTGTTGTGACCACACTTCCATGTTAAAGCACTGCTGTGGCAGCGCATTAAACTTACCAGTGTAGACAAAGCCTGATACACAACACAGCTATACAAGGTCAAGTAAACAGTTTCTAATTTCTCTGCTAGAACAAAAATAGACCGGAGATGAGACCGCAGGGTGTGTCATACAAATACAACAAACTGATTAAAAAGTTTAATCTCTATAATGAAAGGGGCATGTTTTACTTCTCCAAGTAAGGGTGTGTCTAGACTACCTAGTTTTGTCGACAAAAGTGGACTTTTGTCGACAAAACTATACCAGCGTCTACACTACC